TTAGAAGCTGGATGTGTTAGTATGCTATTTAGTTGTCATATTGACATTACCTGCCTTCTATCTTTTACACTTCGTAATTAAAGTTGGTTTGTTGCCTGTTTGGAAACTGGATATGATGGTATGAGAGTATTCTATTAGCTGTCATATTGACATTAGCTAACTTGAACTTGTTGGATGCACTAACAGTTGATTGTTGATTCAATCCCCAGAAACTTCCTGTTTTCCATGCTTGTTCATTGCCTATTTTCAATTTCCAAGAATCATCTTTGCTTTGTAATTGTTGAAATTTCTCATCCTGCCTTCCTCAAGCACTATTTTGTCATGGGTTTGGACTTAACCATCTCAGAAGGGAGACAGGGCAATTTTGGTCTTACAAATTTTGTATTTAATGAGATACCCTTTAAGACCAGAGGCAATGCGTAACCAAAATCCAAGTCTGTATTTAATGGGATACCCTTTAAGACATTGCTGCAAATGTCCATTGTATTACAAATTCTGGTAACCTCCACCAAAATATCATTGAGTCAATGACGCGTTTTGTTATTACAAAAAGGCCCCCCTCCCTCCCCCCTTTTTTTTTTAAAAAGAGCACTTTATTTGTAAATTATGGCATATCACCAGAATGTTGTTTTGTTTTTTTTCTATCAAGAGTGTACTTTATTGTTGAAGCACGTATCAATAGGATAGCGCAATCCAAGTTACAAGCATATTTACTTGTAAGGAACTTGTAAAGGTTCAACTAGAATTTACATTTTTTATTTTGTTTGCAGATTGTGGAGCAGGAGAGTTTGAAGGCAGTGGAAGAAATCAAGAACCCTGTTGTGTTCTGCATTGCTGCATGGTTTGGAAAGGTTAGGCTGATTGATAACATAAAAATCAGCATATAAAACAATGCCTCCATTGATTTACTTTTCATGCCCAAGGAGGACCTAACTGTTTTTCTGAGCTTCATACTTCCTTGGCAACTCTTTTTATTTTTTTTTCCTCTTTTTTTTTTATTTTTTTTTTTCTATTGGACAAAGGCATGCATATGTCACAGGAAACAAACACTGTGAGGGCCAATGCTAACAATGCAAATTCTTTTTGTGAGAGGATTGGCCTCAAGTTTGCACAAGGACTGGAATGCATGAAAGTAGCTGAATAAATTCAACCTTTTATGATTAGTAGTAGCAGCATAGACTACAAGAGCAGTTTAAATTGTATACTTTTTTCATGGTTAATGGCACTATGGCAGCATGATTTGAATTATAGAAAATTGCAAATGTCTCTGGCATTTATAGGTCCATTTCTGTGAGCTGTCAGAGGAAACAGACACCAGGAAGGGCCAATGCTCAAAATTTTTCCGTGAACATCACCAGTAGTGGGAAGATGCCAATAATCTAGAAACATAACAAGCCAAACTGTATCAAAAGAACAAAAATGAGCCAAATAAGTAGTGGGAAGCCATAAATGCTCCATGGCCTTTGTGTTTTTACAGACAGTAGTGTCATCATATTAGGTTTAAAAAGAAAAAGAATCCAGCTTCCAATAATCAACTTGGTCAAATGTTTCTCAAATAACAAACTTTAATAAAGAGTATCATAAGCTTCTGCATTTGGCACTGACTTAAGACTGCAACTCCTCTCTCTTATGCATTTTCTACATTCTGTTTGATGCCAGCATCTGCAGTATCAATGTCCACCAGTTCCACATTAGATTCAGCTTCAAAATTTGCTCAAATGCACCGATTCCAGCAATGTTCACAACTTCAGGTATCTTCATGCCCTTCGTCGCCAAGGTCTACAGATCATGGAAAGCAGAGAAAACAAATCAACACATGCCAAAGCCAAATCATTAGCTTCCATTCCTTTTTATGAATTCAAGTTCAAATATAGAAGACTCCATGTAGTAGAACAAAAAGTGATTGCTTCATGGTCTAAATATGAAATCCACAAGACAATCTTCAACAGAACTAGTTTTGATTACTAAAAAGTATAATGATATGGGCACAAAAAATGGAAACCAATGCGTGATTGTGCACATTTCACGTCAATTCACTTGAAAAACATAACATCGGCATCTTACAAAATTCATAAAGAAAAATGCACTGAAAGTGAGATTGAGTATACTGTATACACCTAAGAACTGAAAGAACAGATGAAAGAATTGATTAGAAAATTAAGGATATTCCAAGATAAAAGAGAAGGAACAAAGCCTCTCGCTTTATCCTAAATTAACAATGATATATTAATTTGCTAAACAAGGGAATAGTAGTAACAAATTGCTATGGTCAAATTAAGATGAAGAACATGTTGAGGATGTTGTAGGACATTCTTGTACCTGAGAGCAATCGGCGATATATTTATTTCCCGAATGTTGGATATAAGGGGCCAATAGTCTCCTTTTTCCTTCAAGCATCGTTGTTCTAGAAGTGGACAGCCTCTGATTTCGAACACTTCCAATGAGGGAGGCAGACCTTCCTTTGGCAAGGTCTTGAGATTTGGGCAATCATTAAATGTCAACTTTTGAAGATAAGCAAGTTTTTGGAGGAGCCCTTTAGTTATGGATTCCAGATTACCAACTCTTTTTATTGAAAGAGTTTTTAGGGAGGTGGGAAGCAAATCATCTGGAGGACATATCCGATGAATCTCAAATTTCTCAAGAGACGTAAGCCTGTCAAGCCCCCATTCTAACATTGACTGCTTCAAGCCCTCACAATCGATCACAAGCCATTCAAGATTCGGTGGTAAACCTCTCCCTGCAATGGATGCTATACCTGGACATTTACTTATCTCTAGTTCTTGGAGAGACGTGCAGTTGTACATCCCATTGGGCAGAGACTCAAGATTATCACAACCTGACATCTTCAGAGTTTTAAGAGTGGAGGTAGACAGCAACCTTTCTGGCAAGGACTCTAAACTTTTACAATCAAATATAAGTAAGGAGCAGAGACGACTGAGATTGTGCATGCAATCAATAGGGAAATTGGGTTTTCCCACACCAGAAATACTTGTTCTTTCGAGATTCACTGTCACAGTGCTGCTATCATCACCCTCCCGTAGGAACTCAGATTTTTCAGAATTCTCAATAATGGACTCTTCAAGTCTGGCAACTAACTCACCTGTTGAAAAAGATTTGAGGCTTGGACATTTACAAATATATAATCTTTCTGTTGTCATCATCAACTCATCAGGTAATGACTCCAAAGCCTCCAAACCAACTAATTGAAGGTGTTGGAGATATAACGGGAAGTCAGTCATCAGAAAGCCGATGAACTTTCTGCATCTGTCGATATACAAACTTTTTAAAGAGGTGAGGCTATGCAGTCCATTCGGTAGGCGTTCAAGGTTGTCACAATTATAGATGGTCAAAGATTCAAGGGTATGAGGTAGAAGGTCTGTTAATGATACTAGGAGATGACAGTACTCAATATTCATCCTCTTAAGACTGGACAAGCTTGACAGACTGTCTCCATCCTCCAATAAGGAAATAAGCTCACCACATTTTCCAATTTTTAGAGTCTCAAGTGTGGTCATGTTTTGTGTGATGCTCCTAGGCAAGCAAGTAAGCTCTGAAATTCTGCTAATACTCAACTTGGTGAGTGAAGTGGAATCATATACACTCCTGAGAACTGCCTCTTCACAATCCTGCAGATACAGTTCCTGAAGTGATGGAAGACTCATTGGTGAGTAAGTTAATTGAGGGCATCCTTTGATCTCAAGCCGCATGAGTTGTGGTAATTGTCCAAGCCTTGGCAATAAAGTGCTTCTCTTACAATGATTGAGTTCCAAGTACTCCAATTTAGAAAATAATGGATCGCCCATCCAAGAAGGGAATTCCAAGCCTCCGTATGAATCAATTTTGAATCTTTTCAAATTGGAATGAGGCTTTAATTGACTGAGTACCTGCAATTCATAACTTTCATCTCGTGAAGTCTGGAAGTCATTAGTCCATGCCAATGTTAGCTCTTCAAGGCCCTCGATCTGAAATAGGCTGGCCTTACTGGCATCTTGAATATCGGAGACATTATGGAGATCTTTGATAAGTAGCTCACCTTGTAGATCCTTCAAGTAGCTTAACTCTTTTAATCTCAGCCCACCAGATTCTCCCACAATAAATTTAGGCAACATCAAAAGATTTTTCAAATTTCCCATTTGGGGTGGCATCTTTTGTAAGCTAGATGTACCCCTAATATCAAGATGATGTAAGTCAACTAAATCCACAATTCCTACTGGCAACTCCGTGATTTGGTAGCACTCGTATAGTATCATTGTTTGCAAGTACACAAGAGACCTCACAGAATTTGGTAAACTTTGTAATGCACTGAATGACAAATCTATGTAGCGCAAATGCTTCAATTTCTCAATTGAATTTGGAAGCTCTGATATTGTCCAACCATACAAAGATATGACCCTTGGGCATCTTAATTTTTGTATGAAATCCTGATAAAATCCATCCACAGGAAACCGTTCCCAATCACGAGCTAATACTAGGAATGTCCGCAAATTATTGGGCTTTTGCAGAAACCAAGATATTTTAGAATAATAAACTCCATAAATAGAGCATGACGCATGGCGTGCCTTCTCAAAACTAACCTTCATTTTCTCACTCTGTATCAGATTTTCAAGATTGCAGTATGTTTCTCCTGCAACATATTCAGCTAAATCATGCACAAGGTCATGCATGACAAAGTATGATTGATTATTGCTTGATTGTTGGAAAAGCCCTCTTGATAGTAAATCAGAAAAGTATTCATCCCCTGTGCCTTTCAGTTGCCGCACTCCATTCTTCTGTTGTTGCAAAAATCCCTCAGCCATCCATAATAAAATTAAATCATCCTTGCGAAATTCATGATCTTTTGGGAAAATAGCACAATAGACAAAGCATTTTTTTAGATGAGCAGGAAGATGATGATAGCTCAATCTCAAAGCTGGAAGAATGTGACTTCTTCCTTCTGGTAATTCCCACATCTCACTCTTTAACACCGTGACCCACTTGTTAGGATTTAGCTCACCACGAAGGAGTCCTCCAAGGGTTTTTATAGCTAATGGCAACCCTTTGCACCTCTTTACAATTTCAACGCCAATATCTTTGAGTTTCAAGTGTGCATCAAAGTTCTCCCTTTCCAGTGCGTGTCTAGCTAATAATGGCAAACATTGGTCCTCTGGAAGCAGTTTAAGACGATAAATTCTATCACTTGCTCCCATGGTTTTGGCAACACCTTCGATGCGTGATGTAACAACTATTTTACTTCCGACTGCTGCTGATACAAAAATTCTTCGCAATACATCCCAACATCTATAGTCCTCACTCCAAACATCATCCAGTACAAGTAGAAACTTCCTTCCAGATAACATATTGTTTACCTTCCCTTGAAGTACAGAAGGATCTTCAGAGTCACACTTATTTTGAGTTATTTGTTCAAGAATAGATCTTGTTATTCGAAGAATATCAAATTCATCAGATACACAAACCCAAGCTTTAGGCTCGAACACACCGTTCAGTCTATCATCATTGTAAACAAGTCGAGCCAATGTGGTCTTCCCTAGTCCACCCATGCCAACAATGGGAATCACACAAGGGTTTTCATCACCACCTTCATCATTCAACAACTTTTGAAGAATGGCATTTTTGTCGCCTTCCCGACCATAAACATAAGGTTCAGGCAACCAAGTAGTGGCCGGCTCCCATCGTGGAGCTGTTACGCTAGTTCCGGCCTCTTCAACTTTCAAGCCCAGGGCTTCCTTCTCTCTCACAGCACGTTCCAGTCTGCCAGAAATCTCCTTTATCTTGGAAACAGCCTCACAACCAGGGATGAAAACATCGAGATTAAAACCAGTGAAGCACGAGGGAATCAGTTGTCGCGCCTTACTTGTGCAGGGTCTATCAGTTTTGGCAGTCAATTTCTTTCTTCGTTCATCAGCCTCTAGTCCATCAAGGACATCCTCCATATCATAAGCCAAATCTCTGATGTCAGAAAGCCACATCTCCACAGCAGGATTGGCTGTTTGCCTCTTCTCCGCATCATCAAGCACAACCCATATTTTGGGCAAAAGACTCTTCCAATTTTGCAACTCATCACGAACCTGCTTCTGTCGATTCCATAACTCACTGGACTTGGAACCCAACTTGTCCATTAACCACTCCAAGGATGCAGATAGAAAAGCGGTTGCTACCGCTTCCATTGTAAAAATGAGCAAGATATCTACGGTAAAAATGAAGGAATACAAATGAATCATAAAATCATTTAGAAAAAGAGAAAAGAACAAAGTGCTGCGATTGCGGCGCACTAACTTGAACCATTAAATAAACATAGTTGGTAATGTCAGCACTTCCTTTTATATAATAATTTTTATTTTATAATTTAATATAATTTAAATTACAATATAAATTATAATATATAAAATTTATATGAAAAAAAAAAACTGAAAAAAATAAGGAAATATTTATTTTTTTAAATATTTTACCGTTCGTCTTGTACGCACGGTAAATAACTCAGTCCACGATCCTTGTATACGAACTATGAAATACCAACCTCTAAGATTTTTGGCGAAAAAAGCGGTGAAATACATGGTAACAGTCTCAACTAATTAATAGAAAGTGTATATTTATCATCGTGTCTCTAAAATTTTAATTTAATAACTTATGAAGTAATAAATATATTTTTATTTAAATTTTATATAAAATAATACAAATTAATTTAAATTTAATTAATTAATTATAATTATTTACATAATAATATTATTAAAATAAAAATTAATTTCTAATTTTTTTTTACTATAGAGAAATTTTCGGGAAAGGGGGAAAAGAGGAGCTTGGTAT